ATGTCAGATGAACCATGGCTTATTGATGTCCGCTGGGCAGGGCAGGTTGGCCTTAATGAGTCACCAGGCTCCACAAGGCATTTCTGTATAAAAGAAACTAAAAATCTTTTTCTCAACGAGGTAATCAGAAACAGCCCTAACAGATTTATTATGTTCTGTTAGAGTCTTTCTTTCTCCACCAACACAGAAACATAGATACCCACTGTTATTCTCACAGCATGTATGTAACTATGTTCTTTGACCGAGGAGAACATTCAGTGGTCTACATTCCCAAGTGATCACTCCACAACTACTTGTAACAAAAGTGGAAAACAAATGTTTTATAAAATTCTCTTTAGAGTTCAGCCTCAAGAATTCTGGATCTGAAGGTGAGTGCAATAGTCATCAGTTTTATTTAAATAATTAAAATTTTTATTTGTTCTATAAATTAAAAATAAAAGAAACTATCTCATTAACTTAGCTCTTGACCTTTGTGGACACTGTGGCTTCAGTAAGGGATGCACTGTAGAATGCTTTTCTGGGCACCCAAATTAGGCTACCCAAGAGTCCCCTGGGTGGTGTGGATGGTCTGCAGCAGCCAAAGCCACTGCCAAAATTGTGAAAGGGAATCGGGAAGAAACCACCAGGTATTCAGGTTAGATGAGGCTCACAGTCCTATGACCATCAAAAGTGTCCCCATGTGTTTAGGGAAAAGATAGCTAAGAGTCAGAGTCCCAGACCCAGGTGGGCAAGCATGAATGGGATGCCAAATTGAAGAGCTCTAGAAAGAGCCCTTAGTGGCCAGTGGAAAGGAAGGCAACAAGAATCAGTCGTTGTATTATGCATTGGAATGGCACAATCTACTACTATGAAGGCAACAGATACTGTACTTCCTGTCTTATTTTGGATCTGTGCTGAAAAATCCTGCCATGTGTTGAAAGAAAAACTATATATACTTCTCATCAAAAAATTAAACAACTGTAAACCTACCAACACTTCATTTTTACCTAATGAAAATAGTTACTTAGCTCTGATGTGTAACCAAACACCTTTGCGTACTTTATAGATATCATTTCTTTTAATCTCACAACACAGGTGCATTACAGAAACAGTTATCCCCATTTTTCAAATGAAAAAACTGAGAGTCAGAGAGATTAAGTGTCATGTGCAAGTTAAAACAGCTGGCCAGTGGGAGGGACCTGAGTTTTCTCTATCTTCATGACTCTGCAGTCAGCAGAGACTGAAGCTCACACAGCACGCACGATGATGCAGGGGTGGTTCCACTCAACTCTGCTTGAGACAGAAGAGAAAGAACACAAATGCTGCTCAGTGCTTGGCACTGTTCCTCAGTCCAGTGTAAGTTCAGAGGGTGACAAGGAACATTGTGAGGGATCTGAAAGTGTGCCATAGGTGGAATGGCCAAAAGAACTATGGATACTCAATTTTAAAAAAGAAAAAGCAGTGGGTGTGTGCTAGTTTTACTCTAATATCTCAAAGTGTTTCCATGGAAAGTAGACTATTTGTATCATTAAACTTCTGTGGGATTATTGATAAGGTTGAAAAACATATTTCTAATGATAGAGCTAACAGCAATGGCAGTAAGCTGCCTGTCACTGAGTAATTTCAATGCATGTAATGAAGAACAGTCAAAGAAGAGATAGAACATATTTCTTAATGAGCTGCAGGTTCTCAACTGTTGGTTCATTATATCTCATAATTCATTTAGTTAAAAAACTAAGTCCCACCACTAGAAATATTAAATGCTTTTGTGTTCAAAAATAAGGCATTTTAAAGATATTTAGTCCTAATATTTATCATTCATGGTGTTTAGAACATTAAGAACTTAAATAATATTGCATGCATAAAATTGTGTTCCCATGATAATTAGAACCAATAACACTAAGTAGAAAATCTGTTTCATGTGAACAAGTCTCTTAAATTTACAAGGAAGCATATATAAAGAGATACATTTAGAAAAGTAATCAGAGCTAGATTATGAAACTTCAAGGAATTTGACATATTTTCCATTCAGCATTTCAGTTCTCAAGAGTACACAAGAAACTGGTAAAGAATTTATTGATAAATATTAAATGAAAAGGCAAATTGCAAAAAAAAGAATATATAATATGAACAAAATGTATAAATACTACTTATTTATGTGCTAATATTAAATTAAATCAAAATGAATTGTGGCATTGTTAAAGATTTGTAAGTGAGTCTTTCTTTGTTAACTATGTGTAAACAAAATAAAAGAAAATGCATGCGAAAGGGATTTATAAATTTGTAGAATTTACTTGCAGGAATTTTTATTCAGCTGAAGTTAATGGAAAAATGTGCATAAGTGAAATTTTAAGATTGCTAAGCCCAATTAAAAATTTTTATTTAAAAACATTTGACAAAAATACATTAAAATTATTTTCATACTTTGATTTTTCTCATTATGATAAGTTAAAATTATTTTCATACTTTGATTTTTCTCATTATAAGTATAATTTTCTTTTCTAATGTTTATTGAATTTTGTATGCTCTGAAATTATTGCATTAGACAGTCTAATGCAATAATTTCTCTGTGTCTTCTCTTATTAATCATCATCAATTCTAATTTCTCAAGACTACTTCGAGACACAGGCACTTTGCCTTTGACACAATACAATGGCAAAACGTGGAGTAGGTACTAAGCTCTTTAATAAAAATGCAGCCAAGAACCGAACAAAACAGTGAGCAACATGGATCACTTTGGTTTAGTATTTTTGCTACTGCAAAACAAGATTGTCATTATAACAATAACAAAAAAACCCCCAAAAAACAAAAAAAAATCCTTTACTTTAGAACATATAATATACTTTTTTGAAATATTAGCCTAGGAAAAATGACACTATCTTTAAAATTTATCATATTTTATTATGTTATCCTTCTGATCTTGATCCAATTTGTGGTATTGCTAGTTCTGAGAATAAAAAGTTATGAACAATTAAATGTCTAAAATTAGTAGATGATTAATTAAGGTCTAGGTGCTCAATGCATTATCAAGCTGATCTTAAAAAATTATGTTTGCAAGGAATTATAATGTGATAAAATTCTAATATTGAAATTTAAAGTAAAAATAGCAGTATTAAAATTTATCTACATTATGAAATAGCTATATTAAAATATAATATAAAATATATTTAAAAAATAAAAAGGCAAACGTTTCTTGAAATAAGTGCACCAAAATATAGTCGACTTGTGTGACAATAGCCAGATTTAAGAGGAATGTTTATTTGAATTTTCAAGTGTTTTTCACAAAGTCATGTAATTTTTATTTAAAAAGAAAAAATAAGCCATTACTTTACTTATACTACAATTACAGACTTCAATGCACTAATAATATCTCCAAGGTCTTCTTTACAAGGCCTGGTTTCTGTGGACAAGGAAACTAAAAATTATATTCATCCTTGGTTCCCCACAGCCTATTCATTACACTAATTATGCATACATTCATTCAACAAGTTTTTCTTCAGCATATTTTACTCCCAAGTGCTAGTTATTTGTGATACAGGATAAAACACACATTTATTGAAGAGAATATATATTAATTGGGGAGAGTGAAATGTAAACAAGCAAACACCAAAACCACAACCCAGTATAAACAATGGCAATCCAGACATCTTCAAAGTATGGTATCTGCACAAAGGAAAGTTATGTGATTAACCCGAAAAGCCAGAAAGCTTTGGAGAGAAATGAATATTGAAAAAGGAATAGAAGTCACACAGGGAAATGATGGTGAGAGACTGGGAACAATCTAAGCAGAAAAAAGAGCAAAAGCTAGAGAATAGAGGGCATTGATGGGACCCTAGATTAGGACAGTTGGAACAGTCCAAAAGCGTTGCATGGAAATATCCTGAGAGACAAGCAAAGAGTCACAGGAGGGGATATATCTGAAAGTATACGGTGTGCTGTGATAAGGAAATTAGGTTTCATCATGAAGGTTTAAGAAAGCAATGAAGGGTTAGAAGGATCCCTTTGGCATCACTGCTTTTTACTTTGGCAAGAGATCACTCTGGCAGATGTATTGTGAGTTATAAGAGATAAGAATGAAGGCAACAAGGAAAAGAGAAAAATGAAATGAGGAAAAATTACCAAAGCCTCAATTAAAGTAGGTATGCCAGGAATGGAAGTGAGATGAAAAAATATAATTGGGAACTAAATTGTAGACAAAACCAATAGGATTGTACTAGATATGGCACAATGAGAGGTAAAGGCTAGGATGGCTCCCACGTTTCAGACATGAGAGATTGGGTAGATGGTGGTGTCATTCCACAGATACAGAATGCATAGAGTGGTCCTAGAAAAGGATGAGTTTCGTATAAAGGAGGCTTAGTCTGAGGTGGGGTTTCCAACTGGCAACTCTCAAAAATAACTGAAAGTTGGAAAGGTGCTTTAAAATTAACATTAGATAAATGAAAGGTGTAACTGAGATCCCAGAAATATATATATACATATATATATATATTTGTCTCTTCTCTCTGCAAAAAGGAGAATGATTCAGCATATGTGTGTGTGTATATATCTATATCTATATCTATATATATCTATATCTATATATCTCTTGTAGAACATCATATTTATAGGCTGGGGAGAAGAAGAAATCACTCTAAATGTGTCTGAGGAATAACCAAAGAAAACTGGGAATGTGTGGAACAAAAGCATAAAACAAATGATTATTGACATTTCCCTCAACAGGAATAACTCAGAGGAAATGGAGGTTGGAAACCACACCAGTGTGACGCAGTTCATCATTTTGGGGTTAACAGATGATCCTACACTTAGTGTCATCTTCTTTGTGATATTTCTAGGAATATATGTTGTCACCATAGTAGGCAATATCAGTATAATCACTGTAATAAGAAGCTGCTCCAGGCTTCACACCCCAATGTACTTCTTCCTCAGCCATTTGGCTTTTGTGGACATTGGTTGTTCCACATCAATCACACCTTTAATGCTTGTAGGACTCTTTGGCCATAAAACAGTCCTCCCTGTCACTGGCTGTGAAGCCCAGCTCTATTCTGGGGTTACATGTGGGACAGCTGAGTGCTTCCTGCTGGCTGCCATGGCCTATGATCGTTATGTGGCCATCTGCTCACCACTGCTCTACTCCATCCACATGTCCCCCAGAATCTGCATTCTCTTAGTGGGGATGTCCTACTTGGGCGGATTTGTGAATGCTTGGACATTTACTGGCTGTTTAATGAGTCTGTCTTTCTGTGGACCAAATCAGGTAGATCACTTTTTCTGTGATTTCTCCCCTTTGTTGAAACTGTCCTGCTCGGATATCTCCATTATTGAAATCATCCCTTCCATCTCTTCTGGATCCATCATTGTGGTCACAATGTTTGTCATATCTCTCTCTTACATCTGCATCCTCATCACAGTCCTGAAGATGCGCTCCGCTGAAGGGAGACACAAAGCCTTCTCCACCTGCACCTCCCACCTCACTGCCGTTACTCTCTACTATGGGACGATCACCTTCATTTATGTGATGCCCAAATCTAGCTACTCAACTGACCAGAACAGAGTGGTATCTCTGTTCTACACAGTGGTGATCCCCATGTTGAACCCTCTCATCTACAGTCTGAGGAACAGAGATGTGAAGGAGGCCCTGAGAAAGGCAACTGTCAGATTACATTTGTAGGGTCCATTCTTATCTTGTCCGATGAACTATAAAGTTTTGGTTTACCTGTATCACACTTAGGACCTACCTAATAAGTATGCTGTGTAACTGATTGCTTGAATTAAATTTATGCCTCCTCTAACTCTCATTTATATTCACTAGTAAACCAAATATTGTTACTGTAATTGTTACTATTCTAAATACCCATAGGTTGCAAGTACTTTTTCTCATTTAATTAATCTTGCAAACAATAATTTGCACTTGCTATTACATATATTAACTGGGTTATTCCTCTCCAAAACCCTATGAAGTAGTACCGTTATTTCTATTTTACAAAAAGTCATTTGGGGCACAGAGACATTAAGTACATTGCTGCAA